ACTTAGAGATTTAGGCCTTTCCAAAGATGCAGCCGAATTGCTAGGGTCAAGACTAAAAAATAAAAACTTGCTGTCACCTGGAACATCATTCTCGTGGTACAGGCACCGAGAGAAGGAATTCACTCAGTTTTTCTCCAAAGAGGGAAATGGGAGAAAAAGAAAAAGAAGCATGGGACTCCTTCAAAGACGTAGTGCACAAGTTTTTGGGGAACACTAAAGACCCCTCTACAAAACCAATGTACAACGCATGTTGGCTGCATATAAAGCTCAAGGTTGCAAGATGAGCTTAAAAGTTCATTTCTCACGCTCCCATGTCGACTATTTTCCCGAAAACTTGGGAGCCTACAGTGAAGAGCAGGGCGAACGATTTCACCAGATGTCCGTGATATCGAGAGACGCTACCAAGGAAGATGGAATGCGAATTGGCTAGCTGACTGCTGCTGGATGATCAAGCGGGAAACGGAAAATGGAAAGCGAAAGCGCGTTCGGAGGAGCATCAAAGAGAAGAAGAAAAGGGTTCACAGGCAAAAGACTGAACATAGAATGTTAAATATATCGTGAAGGAACTGTTTGCTTAATTATGAGAAATAATATGTTTAGTTCAATGTAATAAAATTAGTGATTTTTTCCATCGTTTTTTTTTTTAAGTTTCGAAATGTGGTGTTGGAGAAGGATGGAGAAGATCAGTTGGACCGATTATGTGAGAAATGAAGAAGTGTTAATTAGAGTCAGTGAGCAGAGGAATATCCTACACGAAATAAGAAAACGGAAGGCTAATTGGATTGGTCATGTTTTACGCAGAAACTGCCTTCTAAAAGAAGTTATCGAAGGAAAGATAGAGGAGCGGATAGAAGTGACAATAAGACGAGGAAGAAGACGTAAGAAGATGCTGGATGACCTTGGGGACAGAAGAGGATACTGTCATTTGAAGGAGAAAGCTCTAGATCGCATTAAATGGAGGAATTGTTTTGGAAGAGACTGTGGACCTGTCGTCTTGACAGATTACTGATGATGATGATTTTTTATTGTAAACCCCTATTATTTTCTAAAAAACCGTACGTGATAGGGGGAAATTGAGGTCATTTTTGGATTCAGCATCCTAGAAAACATAAAGTTTACCAAAAATATTCCATGCAGCTGAAAAAAAATTATTTTTGCAGACCTGTGAATTAATAATTTCCTCTCCCTCTCTCACCATTATCTTCTGCTACTCCACGTTTCTCTTCAGTTTTAACACATCTTTCCTTTCCTCTAGCCTAGCCTCTAACAGAAATGAGTACCAAGAATCTTCCTGGGGGCAACGGGAGGCCGGGCGACCGGCGCGTAAGACTGACCTTACCGCCATCTCTGAGCAGGCTGTCTAGAAATATGTGGAAGCCTCGACGTCCCACAACCCTATGGGCCTTCACGGCCTGTTACAGGGATAGCTTTACCTTTTACCTCCTTTCCCCTACTTCTACCGCACCTCCTCCTTCATATATTATCGGTTCCCGGCGAATATGAATATTCTGGCTCCAAAATTAGCGGCTCATTCACGGGGGTTCCAAACACAAAATGGCGATTTGCTTGAAAGTGGCTCCAATTACATTAATTAAGTATTATTGGTTTATGGAGATGCCTCCCTAAATATAAAGCATCGGTAGGCCCTCTAGCGGCCCAAACGCGTGTACAAAAAATAAACGCAATATGTTTGCACTTCCCTCCATATTTCCATCATATCTTTCCCTTCCAGTCCCTTCATTCTGTTCCTCTTACCCTTCTCTTCCCCTACCAATTTTCACCATTTTCGTGACTTTCTTACGGCACTGTCTCAGTATTCAGGCTACATAGCGTTCAACGGTAAAATGACTGATGAAAGGGAACGGATCTGGAAGGAAGCAGTCATGGCCTAATCGAGGTACTACCACGAAATGTACTGTGAGAGACTGAGGAAAACCACCAAGAACCTTAGTCAGAACAGCCATTGTCTGTCTGGAACAGGTTGATGTAGCGTCGAGTGGTTGGTTGGATGATGAATTGGAAGGACACGATCATGCCCTAATCAAAGTACTATCTCGGTATTTGCCTTCAGGGGCTGAAGAAAATCACGAAAACCCTGAGTCAGGATTGCTGGTACGTATCCTGCGGAAGATTCAAACCGAGCACCTCCGAGTGTGAGTCAAGAGCGTTGCCGCTTCAGCCAATTTTGTCTTCCTTCAATGGCATGAGCGGCAGCGTAAGAGACAACAGATCTCAATTTCATCACGATTACATGCCCTGATGCTGAAATGCAACATCAGATAACCGGTTATAATTGCAAATTTCGTTCTCTTTTCGGAAATGTTACAACAAAGAGCACACCACTCCCCTTTCCTTTACATAATCGACATACTAACATATACCCACACACTTAAAACTTTCACCAGCTGTAGGCCATTTCTTTAATCATTGTATGCCTTTCATGTGTGACGTCACGCAGTCGCTCCGGACTGACCAGTGAACGGGCAACCACTGTAGCGACCGGTCTGTTTGTAGTTGAGTGCGCATGACTGCAGTGCACGTGCTACTCAGAATACCAAGCCATACTGACACGAAACAAAAGCTATTTGATATAAAGTAACACGTATTTAAGAATTAACATCTACAGTGATTTTACGCAACACGGTGGCGATATCAACAGTTCTCTATGTCAAAAATATGATAAAATATAATGTCACGTATCGTAAGTAAAATATTTAAGTGTTAACAAGAATCTTTAGCGTTGTATAAAATTTTGTGTGCTGATGTAGAGAGACTTAAAAGTCATATAATAAGAAAAGTGGCTTTCTTGTTAACGAAACCTCATTCAAATATCGTCGCTTCTGAAAGCAAGTGTCTGAGTGAAGATTTATGCTTAGAAGTGTCTCAAGAAGTTTCTATTTCGCGTAATATTGCTCCGGTTGAATAAATACAACACTGATCTACCCACTGTTGAGCAATTGTTACACCAAATTAATTTGAAGTAACGGAAAAATAGAGGCAGAAGATAACGCGTGGTACAGAATCGGGAAACATGTAAACACAACATTACAGCGGAACCTCAAACATAACCGGAAGTGAGCGAGTGAAAGACGAGTTACTTTCGCAACCTCCCATAAACTTGCAAATATGACACCGCAAACACTTCCCAAAAAGAAGCAATGTACCGGACTTTTCATCGTAACAATTACCGTTATTGCGTGTGTGACGTCACTAACACCGATTGTTGCTAGTATCGATATCAGTGAAGTGGCAAAAGTGTCGTCAAATTCCACACCACATATCAGTGACAAAACCGTGCAAAACGTAAGTAACAACACGACTCTGCAGGTCTCCAGACCTCACGACAGATCAGACATACAGTTCTTGGGAAGTAATGGTACAAATTCCGAGGATGCGTACCTAACGGTACCGGACGGTACCGGAGTGCCACAAGAGTTGCCGACCGGGACGGGGGATCTTCTGGGCGATATGATAACGCAGGCCTTCAAACCTGGCGAGAGGATTAGTGGCCTGGAATGGTTGCAGAACGTGTACAATCCACATCTCTGGGGGCTCTCGCCTCCCGGAGGGCTGGGGTCGAAATGTGACGCCGATATGAAGATATACCTGACCGCCCTCAACAACGGCACGGTCTGGGCTGCCAAGAGTACGTACATACATTCATTTGATTAGTTCTATTGTTTCGGTCATTAAAATTCTTGGAGCAACAAAAATATGGAATATATGTATGCAGGATGATGTCACTAAAACACAACACCTGGCCGCATTAAACAGTGGCATGGTGGGATGATCTAGGGTGCCGCGTTCATTTGGTAGATTCTATTGTTTCATAATAATTACAGTTCCCGGAACAACCCAAAATGGACAAAATATGTTTACACATACAGGGTGATTTAACTAAATTGTTACAAGCTAATAGCGTGGAAATAATACCTGGTCTCAGCGAACAACGGCACAATCTGAGCTGACAAAGGTACTTACATAAATTAATTTTATCTGTTCCATCGTTTCATAGTCATTAAAATTCTTGGAGCAACAAAAATATGCACTATCTATACAGGATGATGTCACTAAATGTTACAAACTAGTAGGCTAGGAACAATACCGAGCCGCATTCAAGAACGGCACGATCTGCTCTGTCAAGAGCAGGTGCATATTGGATTCCGGGTTGTCATAACAGTGACTATGAAGACCGCTTACTATCTTATGGGTGTAAAGGTTCGTTGTCTGGCAGAAGTTCACCGATATTTCGACAGAACATACTGCCTCCGTCTGCAGGACTGAAGAGTAGGACAAGCATGTAACCACCAAGAAGCAGGCGGTACGCAGTGTTCTGCAGAAAGTACGGTTTCCGAAACATATATATACATCTACCGGATTACACGGCGTAAACATATTGATTTAGTATATTTTACTGTTTCGTAGTCATTTAAACTCTTGAAAAAAATAAATTCGAAACTCGTTGGGGTGTTTTGAAGATTAAAGGAGAAATATGACCTCCCCAATATGCATTCATTATGTGAACACTGCAAACGAAGATATCAATCAAAACTATGATGATCTTTTTTTGGACGACATTAACTCTCACCGCCCTATTTATCGACTATATTTAGTAAGAATTCATCTACTCCTTTCTCCAGCAGCATTGGAGCGTCACATGACAATATTCTCTGAGCAATTTCGGGTTCAATTTCACTGTTTTTACAGCAAAATGATATTGATAGACGGGAGCAACAAACCATAATCATACTCATTTGTTCATTCACTTGGTCGTTATGCTCGTAGAAGCAGACAGATCAGACACCGTTGAAATAAAAAATGAAGCTCACTTTCTAAACAATTACAGCAACAAGTTCTAAGTGGAAAAGAAAGCAACAACGTCACACAAGTCAGTTTCGTTTGAAGTGTAGCGGGAAGACAGACCACTCTGATAATTATTTGTAACAAAGATCATAAGAATTTCAGTGCGATGCGATTTTTTACATAACCAGCCACATCAGCAGACAATGAATCGTTGAATCAGTTGAATCAGTCCCATTTTTTTGCGAAGGAAGGTCGCGGGTTTGGCTCTTGATGAGGTCATTGGATTTTCCAATTGGCCTAATCCTTCCAGCCGCATTTGGGATCGACTAAGCCTCTAAGAGAAATGAGTGCCAGGAATCTTCCTGAGGCGTAATGGACAGCCGGCGCGTATACCTGACAACCTCACTGCCATCTGTGAGGCGACTGTCTAGAAAATGTGGGATCCTCGACGTCTTACAACCCTATGGGCCTCCACGGCCTGTTACAGAGATAGCTTTACCTTTTTTGTCACTTTTCGCTTATCTGCGACTGGGTTTCTCAGATCAGCTCTTCCCTTCGGGGGTTTCGATTAAAATTATATAATAAATGCCTTATTGAGGAGGTTCATGGGGCGCTCGCTATGGATTTGGGGGAAAACAAACAAAATGCCACTGTGCCCGTGTCCATATCTGCTGCAGGAAAACTGTGACTAGTTCTGGCAGGTAGGCGCGACCCTGCGTGCGCGGGAGGGCAATGCAGCACTTTGAACATTAGCTCCACCTATCTGTGAAATGATGTTGGTAATCAAGTTCTAAGGCTCTCACAGCGGTGACTATGAGCTATTCTGTCTTCTAGGATGTGATACCGTGTAGACTGGGGGATCGTAATGTCTGATCAACGTAACCTGCTCTCTCTATCTTCAGAATACCTTGAAGGGGTGGATGCCTCTCTCTACAGACTTGGAGATGAAGGCAGTGGGTGACTGAAACGTTAGTAACATTCTACCAGACTACACGATGTCACGCCGCAAAAGGCAATAAACTTCGTATTAATTGCCGTTAAAATTTTAAAATCCCGTAAAGAAAAATAATCTCTGCTCCTGGACGGAAACGAATAGCGGTCATTCTGTCCGTAGCCTGTCACTACAGTGACTGAGCTATCACGCCTCCTCAACAGAGTACTAGTTGTTGCTGTATCGCAGTCACCTGATCTGAATTGTGGCTATGAACTGTCCTTAACAGGCGATGTATTAATGTAGGTCACGTGTGGCATTTACGTTTCACAGCATGTGTTACCTTTTTATTGCGAGCATAGCAATTTATACCCTTCATTTATATTGTTAAGGTAGTTAACCTGTTCCATGTTGCACACGAGATAAATCGCTTAGAAACGCTGTCCCACTTTTGGTCTCTATTTATTTGACGTTTGAAAGAACCGAAAATACACGTGTTCCACTTTTTATCAACAGTTAACTTACAAGTATTTTTGGCTTCCCATCGCGGCGGCCCGTGTTCGATCCCGGGTCTGGTCAAGTGGAATTTGTAGTGGAAAATGTGGCGCTGGGACAGGTTTTCTCCGAGTACTTCGGCTTCCCCTGTCAATCTTCATTCCACCAATTGCTCCACAATCACCCTCACCTATCATCTGGGTTTGGTACAATAGGCCAGAAGCGGCCGCAGTACAAGGGACTTAGCCCCACCCCACTAACAACAATGCAAGTATTTTGGCTTTTGGAGCAACAGAATTATTCATATACAAGTAAGGAAGAGTAGATTACGATGTCAAATCATCCAGTTTTGCACATACAAAACAGACAAGCCACTGGCCAGATTCTAAAGGATTTTAACGGTGCTGTACGACAATTAGCATTATTGGATATCTGGACTCTGCCCATCATCCGGTATTCTAGAGAACATAACGTTTCGGAGACTGAATCTGTTTCCGTCCTCGGGTCAGCGGGTAGGAAACACCTACCGTTTTGTCTCTTAGAAAGAGCTAATCCCAAACACTGGAAGAAGGAGGAGTAGGTGTCCTCCATTCCCTCACCTGATGACGGAAACAGATTCAGTCTCCGAAACCTTGTGTTCTTTAGAATACCAGACGAAGGACAAAGTGCGAAAACCCATTAATTCAATTATTAAGATTCGTTTCTCCTTGCTAATACGCAGTATTATCACGTGAAAGAGTGACTATAGACGGGGTTTGGGCTGGTAATCGCATTTTCTGAAATCTTAAAACTCGTAACTACAAGTAAGCAGTGTGTTGTCACTATTTTACACACTTCATAAATCACTATAGGACACATTACGTCTTCTCACTCTGTTACAATCTCCACTAGCCTTTGCTTGGCATCGGCTTCCAATGGCGGACGTTCCCCTTCCTCTCGGTTCCCAAACTGTCCCTGGCCTTAGCTACAGCTTCTCACAGCGACATCTCCCAACGATTGAGCCCCAGCGGTTATCTAACTGCTCCTAACTTGTCCTGCTTATACCACCTCGGCACGGACCGAATATAAAACACTGCTTCCCATTATTTCTGTATCCTCTTGTTGCCGTGGAAACATGCTTGTTTGCGGGGCCGTTAGCTAGCAACGGTTGTTGTATAGTTACTTACTTCGTCGTCATCTACATGCTACAATATCATTATCCAGTTCTGGCTATCTTCAGCAAATTAAACTGTTACAATTTCATAACAGCAACACAGACGATTCTGACATATGCAAAGCCTTTCAATACAATTAACACCGAATATCAGGAACTTTTCTAAATGCTGTTAGAGCAGTCCCCAGTTCTGAAGCCCACAAGATTCGTACTCTTAATTAGGCTATGTTACTCTTGACACTTAACACAATTTTCTTCAAAGCCAACGAAAGTATATTAAGTAATTCTTGTTTCATACATCTCACGAGACGGTATTCTGTCTTCTTGAACAAACTGGGCTTCTAAAACCCGTTCTCTGGACTCTCATCCAAGAGTCAGTCGTTTCCAGGAACATCTCTGAGAGTACGAGTATGTCGTGCCTTGAGTAGGCAAACCTTAAGGAAGAAAAGTTCTGCGAGATCTCCTGCATAGACACTTTTGTTCGCAATGTATGCCGAAAATATAATATTGTAACTTTCTAATGGTTACGTAATTCTCTGTATGCTACTCTCTGACGATGTAGCGCCCTCAAAATTGATTTTACCAACAGCACCTTCCTCGAGCGACCTCTGTTTCTTCTGTCATTGGGATTACGTAACAACGATGACTTTTATAATCTCTTCTTCAGCACCATTTCCACACTCTTCGTGATGTATATCTTACACTGTACACTGAACTTACGTTACCCTTGGACTCGTATTTGTGACCGCCTCTGTGGTCTAGTGGTCAGAGTTCCTGGCTACAGATCCAGAGATCCCGGGTTCGATTCCCGATGTTACAAGATCTTCTGAGATGTAGTGGGTCTGGAATGGGGTCCATTGAGCCTCGTGACGATAGGTGAGGAGCTATTTCAAGGAAATAGCAGCTCCGGTCTAGAAAACCGAGATTAATGGCAGTGGGGATTCGTTGCGCTGACCACGTGACACCCTCTATCCGCCATAGTTGGCAATAACTTCGCCGACAAGCGGCGGTCGCTCGGTCGGTATAGTTCGCTTGCGGACTACAGGCCACGGAGTATTTGTATGGCTCTAGTAGTTACAGTTTGTGAATCCTGGTAGTGATATAAGAAATTTAATTTCTGCTACTTCCAAATGCTCGTCACACACTTTAAATTGGCTTGTGACTCTTGAGTAATGTAATAACCAAACAATCAGAAATGTCATCAGTCATCTTTGATTGTGGCAACATGTTGTGTTTTATAATCATATTATGTACACTTATATACAATATTTCAGTTTTTGGCCACATGATATCCAATTGGATAAGGCTTATGAAGAAGAGAAGCATATTCTATTAGAGCGCATGACGTGAGGATTCAGATGACTGATGTTCAAGTTTGTATACCACCTGAAGATGACCCAGAAATATGATCGAAACATGAAGTGAGTAAAAATAAAATCAATCTTAATACTAGACAGTTGTGTTGGGGGCACTGCAAGGATTATATTAGGAGTCATGACGGTAGACCGGCACGTGACATATAAACTATTCTTCGGATAAGCGAATAGCCACACAAACTGATATAGCGTTATTTAGAAATTCGTTAAGGGTATGGGAAGTGAGGCAACGTCACACTGAGTTACGCAACGATCAATCGATTACGCGTGACTTTCTCCGGAAGCTCGCAGCGACAAGTAAAAGCTATGTTGTGTCCGGTTTAATTCTTCGAGGGCTGAAGACAGAGAAGACACAGTCAGACGTAACTGCGGTGTAGCTGCAACTGTCATGGGACATTGGGTCCAACAGGAACAGCTTCCCTTCTTCCACTGTCAGTCAGAACATACGAATAGTGTTATTAGGTTGTCACTGTGGTGCCTCCTTTCATCACATTGTATCACGAGTGATAAGAGACATAAATACACGAACCCAGCTTCGCTCAAAGGCTTAAAAAACAAGGCAAAAGAAAGGTAAAGCTATCCGTGTAACAGGCCGTGGAGGCCCATAAGGTTGTGAGACGTCGAGGCTTCTACATTTTCTAGGCAGTCGGTTCACAGATGGCGGTGAGGTTAAATCGTTTTTTATTCTTTTTCTCTTCCGCTCTTTCTCAGGTTCATGTCTTAGGCCCCCCATACACACAGTTTTGCCTTCCGATCGACCTTAGAGACAAAACTGTGACAGTTTACCCCCTCCCTTTCCTCCCCATACACGCGCAGATAAAGCGGCAGGCTTCATGCCACAATCACGGTCTTCCAGCCTATAATGTTGAGTCACACACGTCACGTGCTACGGTCCTGCAGGCAGAACTGACGGACTGACGGGTTTCCCACAGGCCAACAGTCCAAATGATTGGCCGGCCGGCCGCACCACACACGTCAGTTTTGCCCTTCAGTCTTCAACTGTGCAGGCCGGACTAGAGGCCAAACTGTGTGTGTATGGAGGCCCTTATATCCGCATACTCTGTGCTTCGTCTGTTCTTGCAGAAGTACGATACTTCCCGAAGTTTCTTACGCATTTTAACAGAGTTTTGATGAATAAGTTCAACACGGCTGCCTTATTAGCTCGTTTTGTGGAAATTCATTCTTTCATGCATCCATCTAAACAACATTAAAAAATGCAGTTCCTACCACACACATGATACACAGTGTCTACTTCTCGAAGACCAACCGGCTAATAGTGTTTGAGCAAATGCTAGCTGTTTATTCTTAGAATCACACGAAGGGCACAATGCACTATATAGCTGTGAGTAGAGAAATTATGGTAAGACAGCCGAGGAGTGTTTGGATTTCCGACAGGGACAAGAGATTTTTTTCCATTTTCTATAGCATCCAGATAGACATTGGGTCCTAACCAGCCACCCCTATCCAGTGGTTTCGGAGGTCTCTGTTCAAGGGCATACAGCGACCGGAACTTAGAGCTAACAACTCACCTTCATCTAATGCCAAGGTTAAAAATACGTGGAACGATACCTCCACCGCCACACAGGTGTTGACATTGCGGGGCTTAAATTTGTATGCACACATTGTTGTCACAACATTTGCTGTTCACTACGTAACCCGATATGTACGAGAAGGCCTTTCATAAACACATTATAAATAAATATAGTAAACTGTCGTTTTAACGGTCCCGGATATAACGGACAAAATCTGGCTGTGTACAATTGTGAATCTTTAGAGATGTTGAGGCACTGAGAAGGTTTCGTAGTTTGAAAATTATTGAAAATAAAAAAGAATCCTAATAGCAGTACCTCCATTACAAGCATATTGTGTGTTTCTATGTTTTTTGCGTGTACTGGTCTGTACTTGGTCTCTGACATTAAGGGAGGAACATACTGAGGGTGTTTTCCAAAGTGAGATGAAATCACAGGAGGTTGGAGAAACTGCATAATGAGGAGCTTCATAACTTGTAGTATAATTAGTATGATCAAATCAAGGAGGATGAGGTGGGCAGCTCATGTAGCACGAATGGGGGAGACGAGGAATGCGTAGAGGATATTAGTGGGAAAGCCAGAAGGAAAGGGACCACAGGGAAGACCAAGGCGTAGGTGGGTGGACAATATTAGAAAGGATCTTAGAGAGATAGGATGGGATGTTATGGATTGGACAGATCTGGTTCAGGATAGGGACCAGTGGATGGCTCTTGTGAACACAGTAATGAACCTTCGGGTTCCATAAAATGCTGGGAAGTTCTTAGTAGCTGCACAATTGGCGGCTCCTCCAGAAGGGCTTAGCTCCTATGGTGCACTCCCGTGAATACCCCTTCACTCGGTTACAACGGACACCCTGCCTCCTATATTGGACCGTTATACGAGTAAAGAGGCTTTACTGTACTTGAAGAATTAGGTTTGTAAAGTGATCCAAAATTATATTTGTTTTCCTGTGGACCAAAGAACAAGGAAGGGCTGTACATGTGCTCCGACCTTAATAAAAATCGATTCTTATAAATATGAAAGTGTGCATAATTTCACTTAGTTGGGGTCAGAGGTCCACTGCAAAAATGGCATGAGCACAGAGAACAAAAAAAAAAAAGGATCATTTCTTCAGGTAAATCTTTTTATAGATTTCAAGAGAAAGTCAAACTCGATCTCAAGGAAAATTAAATTGCTGATTTACCAAACGCTTGTGAGGCCTGGGTGTTTTCCAAGGAAGATGAAAAGATCGTCAGATTTATCTCAGATCCATGTTTGGAGTAGTGCGGGCGGCGTCATAGCTCAAGCGGTTAGTCGCTGGCTTCCCACCGTGGTGACCCGCGTTCGATCCCGGGTCTGGTCAAGTGGGATTTGTGGTGGACAAAGTGGCGCTGGGGCAGGTTTTCTCCGAGTACTTCGGTTTCCCCTGCCAATCTTCATTCCACCAATTGCTCCACAATCACCCTCACCTGTCATCTGGGGCTGGTACAATAGGCCAGAAGTGGCCGCAGTACAAGGGACTTAGTCCCACCCCACTAGCAAATAATAAAAAAAATACTACAGGTAGTACTATAAATAATTATGAAACTATCGCTGTTTTCACACTTTATAGTTCCTTACAGCACACTACTTTCATCAGTCTATTACAGTGTCCACTAGCCGTTTCCCGGCAACGAACTTTAACACACATAAAGTCTTCTCCTCACAGCCTCACTCATTTCCTTCAGAACTGAACTGCCAACCATCGACTAACTCTCTTGGATCCTTAGTCATCCTCTTTGCCACGTTTCCTCAATTATCAACTTAGTCAAAATCAGTCACATTAAGACTGACAGTCGGTCAGTCAGTCAGTAAGTCTTGGTGTCGAGCTCCACTTTATTACTGTTTGACAGTTACGCTCTTGTTTTTGTGGGGCGCCCTCTCTGTCGAGAGGACGGGTCTGTTTTTTGTATATGCTGCTGGTCCTTGCCAGCGCAGTCATTCTCTGGTTCGAGACCCTTGGAACTCGCGACAATATTTGTCTCAGATTTGAGACTTCCCTTCTCGTTGCCTCATACGACTCGCAGGATCACGGTGGAGGTATTCGACCCCGCATCCACCCGGGTTTAGCTGTCATAGGGTCCTCGTTATATATCCTCGGGGCAGGCCGAATAGAAAACACAGTTTCCAACAAAACTTCCACTGATGGACGTTGTCGCGGGAACGTGTTTACCGAGTCGTTGCCTAGCAATTTACGTCTCATATGGCTCCACTATTCCGGTCTTCAGGCGTCATGTCACAATAGATATGGAGGATAGTAGAATAATCAAGGTATTTTGATGTCAGACCTGAAGGGACTAGGAAGACTAGAAGGTACAAACTGAAATGAGAGGACGGTGTGATCCAGGATATCAGGGCCCTGGGATCGAGGAGCTGGAGGATCTGACTATGAACAGAGCAGACAGGCTGAAGCTTCTGAAGTAGGCCACAGTCCACACAGGTCTGTCGAGCCGATGTACCTCACGAGATAAAGAAATAAGCCTTAACCTGTTTTAAGATTATTTATTGCCTTGGCTTCAGCTTCAGAGTTGATGTATCACCATCCGACACGGGAGACAATCCTACACACAGTAACATTGAGTCACGGTGGGTCATGGCGTGTCACTTATGCTGACTCCTGCTTCTTTGCAGTGACGGACGCCAGTGGCCGCTACTCGTCCCAGTTCTTCTTCGGAAACGGCTTCTGGCTTGGATCTCACACACTTTGCGAAGAACTGCAGCTACAAGACTCGAACCCGGAGCCTCCGCCTTTCAGTGTAGCTTTTCATGTGGCCAAATTACAGGTGGCGCTCTCTTCACATCTCACTCCTGTGGTGAGTTTCCTAACTAAAGTTTGCCTCATTATGTAGGCACTAGATGAACTCTCTAAAATATCCCTGAGGTCAGTGACGCAGACCATCCCGTTAGCATTAGAAAGTTACTAGATTCTATTTTCAACATGGGTGGGAACCAAATTCGCCATGCCGGAGGTCTCATTCGATACTTGGGGATTTTCTTTCATCAGGTTGCTTACAAAACGTATGACGTTGCCTGAAAGACGTTTAAAGTATACACAAAACGGACAGGACAGGGGGTGAACACCAGAGAAGGTCTCAACATTACAGAGAGAGAATAGGTGTTCGCTTAAGGGAATCGAACGACGGTCGTCCAGCTCCTAGGCAGTGACAATTTTTATAAAAAGGAGGAATCCTTCTATGTTTTGTGCTAATCTGTGCGCATGTTCAGAACCGTTCTCTTCTGTGTGGAGTTGCTCAATTAGAAAGTAAATCGCTGAAAAGAAAACAGGCTATTGGCTGAAGACTATGATTTCTTGCGAAAGCCAGAAACATACTAGAATTCAGTGTTCGTGAAGCTGTAATCCGCGGAACGCTCCTGGCTCGCAAACTCTAGTTAGCCTACAATAATAACAATAACCACTTACTTACTTACTTACTATGGAGCTGAGCCCTTCTTGAGGAAAAGCCAAATCTGCAGTTACTCAAGAATTTCCCAGCATTTTATGGGACCCGAAGGTCCATTACCGTGTTCACAAGAGCCCTCCACTGGTCCCTATCCTGAGCCAGATCAATCCAATCCATACCATCCTATCCTATCTCTCTAAGTTCCATTTTAATAAATGTCCACCCACCTACGCCTTGGTCTTCCCAGTGGTCTCTTTCCAATAATAACCACAACCGGGAAGTAATATTGTTTGGGGGGGGGGCACTCACCCTTCTATCTAATGCGTAGCAAGTGTTGCCTAATCTGAGGCAATATGCTGACATACGCTTGGAAGGGCTGAGCAAAAACCTCAGTCAATACTGCCAATGTACGTGTCGAGATTTGAACACAGCACCTCCCGAACACGAAGCTTTCGATGACGATGTTAAATCGGGTTGTCAGGCGGTAAAGGATTGTGAGAGTTCGGGTAGGCATCTTTACTTATTTATAAACATCCTTGGCTTCATGGACCAACGCATTCTTTCAAAGTATGTTACTTGTTCAGTGCACACGTAGCGACAGAGTGCCACCGTAACTTTCTCTCAAGTGGCTTGCTAACAGCTTGCACATGCTGCTATATCACACGCTGTACAACCGTACTGGTTACATTGCAGGGACGCCAGGTGTCTCTGGGGCTGTGCCTACCTCATTCTTGCGGCCCCGCGGACATCACGTCACTACTGCAACCGGATGACGCCTTGCAAGTGTTGCGAGTGAGGCCCGTACCCGGGGACTACAGTCTGCTTGCCGACACCAAGTTCCATGTCCTGGGGTAAAAATTTACTCGCAGAAACAATAAACAACTTCTTTCAGACTTTTATGTAGACAGCTGTCACGTCTTTTGTCAGTTCTAACTCGAAAAATCATTCAAAGCTATAGAAATTCCTTGTTTAGACAGCAGGATAGAATCTGATATATAAAATGATCATGAAATTCGTAGGTACTACTAAAACCAAGAATTTAGATACGTGTAGGATTGAATATACAGTGGAACCTCGCTTAACGAGCATAATTCATTCCAGAATCTTACTCGTGATGCGAAATACTCGTTAAGCGAAACAAATTTTCCCATATAAATTAATGTAAAATACGATAATGCGTTCCATGCCGAAAAAAAAATACTCAAGAAATTTTATGTATAACGTTTATTCAAAGAAAATTATATATACATTGTTAAGGAGCGTGAATCATCTTCATCTTTTCTTCTATGCGGAATGAACCAACCTGGAATGCGAATTCGATTTGCAGAAAACAAAAAACAAAAAAATTGAAATAATTAGTTTATTATTTATGATACATATCTAATTCTTTTTTACTATAAAGCTGTCTAGAGACATTTGTTTTTGCCGACGCTTCAAAATTCGGTGAAAATGCGACACAGCATTATCATTAAATAAATTTGTAGCGCTTTTCAATGATTTTACGTTCCATTTCTACAGTTATTTTTATTCTTTTATGGCTGTCTTTTGCGGCTTTTTCTTTGGGACATTTTTGCAAGGGTTATTAAACTTTGCACAAAAAAATTACAAATAATATGTCTGAACACAAGTCTGGAAAAATGTGTGCTCACAAGCGACACTAAGATGCTAGCAGAACGAGTGCTAAACACAGACTGATGTAGCAAGCGCACAATCCGGGACTTCCCCTCTCGTTGTGAGAAACGTCACTCGTTAAGCGAGTCATTTGTTTACAATTTGTTTTGCTCGTTATGCGAATTACTCGTCATGATAGGTGCTAGTTAAGCGAGGTTCCACTGTAATTGTAAACGGTGTACGCAGGCACAATCAACAAAGTTTTCTTAAGATGAGATTTAAGACTTTGACGGAGGTGGAACTTTTGATTGCAGTTTTGTGTGTTATGGCACCGTGTGGGTCAGTGGGCGTTTAAAAAAGCTTCCAAGATATCGGCATCATTTTCAGGCTAAATGGGAGTACAAGTTTCCTCCGAACGTCGAAAAGCACCTACCGAATCAACGCGACACTCGTAACTCAGAGAACACAATCTCAAAACTTCTCTTTCGTATTTTATCTGAGGGCTTGTAATTGGAAATGGTTAACAATAGAAGAAATGACGGCGTGTTTTACATTCTAAGTGAAATTCCATCACACAGAACATTATCTTTTAATTTGGATGACATTTTTAAAGGACAAGATTAGAGAATTTTACACCGTAAAACAGCTACCATTCACGAATGGTAGGCTCCCAGACAAACGAGTAATCTTCAGACATTTCACAACTTTTTCGCTGTTAGCTACGGCGATGAAATCTTTCAAACGCCTCTTTCTTCAGAAAGGTCATGTTTCCTGTTGCTTCACTTGGAATATGGGATGGCCCTGAATGCCCTCCCAAGAAAGCATATTGGTATAGGCGCAAAAACGTTGCTTGGCCACCTCATTCGCCTAACTTCACATCGAAACTTTATCGGCAAGCTTTTATGTGGCGTCAAGAGTTTCACTTTATAACATCTTAATTATATGAGTATGCATGATGTTCCTGAAACAGGATCTCCGTAACTTAACTACGTGCACTTGGGATCATTCTGAGTCGAAAATTCTAATGAGCAACGGTTTGTGAAGAAAATAAGAATGCTCATTCTGTTACATTCATAATTTATACATTACTTACATTTAATTTTATGTCACCTTATTATTATTATTATTATTATTATTATTATTATTATTATTATTATTATGTATACATGTGTGTCGCAACAGGATGTCCATAGCTTAACTACTACTACTCTCATACGATGACGGTTTGTATCTCGCCCGGGGCACCGACTATCCTGACGTCTTTTGTGGTCTTCCTCAGTCTCTCCATAAAAAATTCCAGGATACTGCCTTGGAATTAGGTCACGACTTATTCCATCCGCATGCTTCCAAATTCACTACGATCCAACGATCTGACGCTAAATAGTCCAAGCTACCGACTGCGCCGTTACGTAAACTGCAAACAAATTAAATAAATGTAAAATAATACCATAAAGGTACGTCAAAATAACCTACAACATTCAAAAGATAAAAAAACGTTCATTTGCTCCCTTGAAACAAATACGCATTTAAAATTAAGAAAATTAAATCAAAATGGAATTACGATATTCAGAATAGGCCTACCGTCGAGCAACAAATTGGTAACCCAGGTAACCACACGAAAACAGAAATTGTGATGAGAGGAAATTTTGAAGGTTCCCAAAGCCGTCAGACAGTAAAATACGGTCCTGCGGGACTCGGAACCAAGCATGACTGTGCTGGCGAGGCCCAGCAGTAACGCAGCACTCATGTAGAGCCTTGTTAAATGTGTACACGCTCGAATGTGAATTCGGAACGCTGAGGTAAAATGAATGTACAAGGGAACAGTGTGCACTCCATCACGAATTGCGACTTTACAATCTCACTTCATGTCGATTATGAGTGTTTGGGTTCCATATGTCACGGTACATGAATAATGCTACCAAATTTCTTCAAAATCCTTGCAACTGAAGCATGGTTTATTTCTCACAGCGAGATGAATTCGTCCAGTGCACGGAATTTACGGGGTTTGTTGGCAGTCTGTGTGCAATGCAACTGGACTGAAAGAAATATTGTGTTTCAGGGGCGTACTAGCTGTAGTGTGTGTGTTGATAGCGACGGGGTCGTGTTATGAGCTGCTGCTATCTCGTGACGAACACACCAACAACCAGTCACCAGGCACGGGGCTGTCAGACCACAAGGAGAAAGAGTCTATCGGTAAGCCCAACTTCTGTCCACAAACGGAAGGTAAGCGGAGGGACAGTCTGATGTCCAGCCACGTCGGTACATTGCGTCACCAACTAATGGACAAACCATTTTTATTCATATTAGAACTGGCAGTTTCTAATTAGCCCTCAAGAAGCCCAGTCATACTATATGTAAAATTTTCTTTACCACACTAGAACTCTACATTCTGTAGTTGTGCGTTCCGTATGGTTCTCACAGCAGCGACTGTTTCTCTACACAGCAAGAACCTGCTGGATTTTGTAGCGAAGACGTAATGTGTTTCCTGTGAGGTACGAATTGAAATTATATATATAATGTAGAAGAAACTGAGTCTTTATAATCCCGTGCAGAGGGGGGGAGCAGATACCTCTACCGTAGCCCTGCGAATCGTAGGAGGCGACGAAAAGGGGACCCACTGCCTGGGGGTATAACCGGCACACTCTCTTCCGGGGGGATATAAATACGGGGACCTGGCCTTCCAGGTTGGGGGAGTCTCGAATCTGAGACAGTAAAATGTGGTAATGAGGCCCACGGGACTTGGACCTGAGAATGACTGCGCTGGCGAGGATCAGCAGCAATTGTAAACGACAGACCCATCATCTCTTCAGAGAGGCTGTTACATAGGGACTATAACCGCATATGTTCAGCTGAAAAATAAAATTACTGTGTCGTTAGTCTCAAGGGGCATGACGCCAAGACGAACTGATTGGCGGTAAACCGACAGTCGTAAAGTGACTCTGACTCTGACTCAGTCTTTGAAGGGTTAAACTAAGAAATTCCACGGAACAGGGCATTTTTAAAAAGCTAAGAGTTACTCAGTCGGTCAAGAAATCCCCTGCCTCTTATATAACCCGAATGTTCGGCTGAACAACGGTTTCTCTCCTGACCCACATGAGCTCAGTCCAGTCCCAACTTCCATTTCTCTGTCCTCCAGTCTGCGCCTAGGTCATCCACGTGATCTATTCTGCTCAGGTTCTCCAACAAAACTCTGTACGGATTTTTCATCTGATGCGTGCTACATACTCAGTCCATTTCATTCTCCATTTGATCATCTTAAATAATATCTGGTGCAGAGTACAAATTATGAAGCTCCTCAAAGTGTAGACTTCTCAGGTTTCCCCTATTCGTATTCGTATTGAGAGGGGGTGGGTTTGCCCATGCACTTAGACCAGTTATTGATCCATTGTGCGTCCCCCTTTAATTTCTACTGTCGCCATACCCTACCGGTAACGGTGCGTGCCATCAGCCCCCGTAGAGCCAACGAGGTCGGCTCCCGGTAACCTTGATGCTTCCCCCATCCACCAGAGGCACTGGAGACTACTTGGGTGGGAAAGGGCCTGTAAATTAGCTCAGAGGTCCCCTAGAGACATGAGGTTCTTTTACGTGCCGTAAATCTATGACACGGGACACACGGCTTAAAGTCCCTCCCGGAGAGGTTTCCCCTAACTTAGATCCATATATTCTCATGAAGTTACGGTACCAAATTCTGTTCTAAGACACATCTAACAATCAGAATTACTGGGTTTTCGGACCTGTTCATCGTCCGGCATTCTAGAAACTACAAAACACAACGTTTCGGAAACTGGATCTGTTTCCGTCCTCACCCGGGGACTCTTTTGAGTTGTGTTTTGTAGTTTTTAGAATACCGGAAGATGGACAAAATCCGAAACCCCAGTAATTCTGTGTTACGCAACGTCAGAACTCTATAGAATCTACATCTATCAATGCTGCCAACCCACAAGACTGAACATTTATCTATTTTACTTTTCTGTAAAATGTAAAATATACCATGTGCTTAATTAAACACCACGCCATGAAGGGACGTATGGGGGAGTGAAGGTATAATTCCATGCATATTTTAAACTCAGTACTAGAACAGGTTACCGGTCAGCTTGTCGGGCCGGTCGCTTTACCCCCATTGGAAGAGCTACCGGTACCCACTAGATAGGAGGCTACAGGGGTCCGAGAGTTTGTCTGGACGCTGTGGAGAAGAGAAAAATATCTTCCCCCTGTCCGTACTCCAGTTCCTCGGTTGTCCAACCTGCAACATAGGCTGTACAGCGCCTGAGCCGGTATTTTCCAGTTTCTGATCCATTTGTCTGCGCTTCAGGCCTGTTGCCGCAGCTGCTACTGTCCTTCTCTGCGGTGCGAAACGGCCAAAAGATCCTGAAGTGTGACAGTCCGCAGGACTCGCTGACGCCAATTCATGGCCTGCGCTTCCTCAGCCTCGCGTGGGTCATCCTCGTGCACACATACCTTCAGGTGTTTGCCATCGCAGGTGAGTACAGCGCGAGATACCACGAGACGGCCTTGGCGCGAACTTTACGTTACTTCTAAGATGCCTGGTGTTTTCACGGTGGTCTTCCGGGTTATGACATCGTGCTGTCTGCTAGGTTGTAACCAACGTTTCGGGAAACATACTGCCTCCATCTTCAAACGATTTCTACATTTCCAGAAGAAAAGTACAGTCTTCTGCTCTATGGTTCGGAGACAGCCCGAACATATCATCTCCATTTTAAGGCTCGATGACTAAGCCAAGCAATAAACAAACAGAATCAATTTACAAACTGTTGCCTGTTTCTGACTGTTTATTATTTGGCTTACTTTGCAGCCTTGGTGGAGACGGTTTGTTATTCCGAAACGTCTCACTGTACTTTTTATAGTCACCCTCGTGAGAACCTCGAACACAAAATATTAAGTTGAACTTTCGTTACTATGGTCACTGTCTGGTTTCCCACCAGTTTTTCTCTCGCCTCATACATTTCTTCATATAGATTGTCAGGTAAAACTATCCCTGAAATAGGCCGTGGAGGCCCATTGGGTTGTGAGACGTCGAGGCTCCCACATTATCTAGGCACTCGGCTCACAATGGCAGTGAGGTTGTCAGCCTTACGCGCTGGCAGCCATTTAACCCTAGGAAGATTGCTCGTACTTATTTCTGTTAGAGGCTGAGTCAACCCCAGGGTCACAACGCGGCTGGAAGGATTAAATAAATTGAAAAACCCAACGACCTCATCGGGACTCGAACCTGCGATCTTCCGGCTCGTAGCATAATGCCTTAGCCGACTACGTATGCTCCGCGTGTCCGCTGGGAAAATCAGACGTGCTCATACAGGACTTTCCGTCCGTAAGGTTGGCTACACAGGGTATGATGTACCCTGGTTCGCAGAGTGCATTACAACCCGGACACGATCTGTCCTGCGCACAAAGAATGTGTGACTATGCAAAGTAGGATAAAAGGTTTTTGAAAGTAACGCAGAAGGTAGACAAAGAGCGATACGGTCCAAATTGAGGTGGCTAGAAGTTGTAGGGGGCGAACTGCAAGATTCTGAAGCATAAGGGCGAGCAGCTGTATGCGCATGCGCATTGTCATGGCGGAGCATTAAACAGGATGTCAGCATTCCACTCCTTTGTTCTGAATGGCCCCACGCAGTTTTTTAGTGTTTCGCAGTACAAAACGTGGATGATCCCACGGGCGGTACACTTCTCTGACACAGGCACACCAAAACGTATTCCCCGATATAAGTGACTCAGTTCCGGCGGTGACTACGCTGAGAAGTAGCTTGTGTACGTATTTTTGTATAAAATACTATTTTTTCCTTACTGCTTGTTTTGTTAACAGCTCGCCGGTGTTTACTTTCCGAATAACTCTCGTATATCAAGGCATCTAAGCCCACCTCAAAAGTGTACTTCATAAATCCCTCCCATCAGTCTGTGTCTATATGTTTACCCCCCTATCGTTGCCTGGTAACGGCTCGGTAGAAACTTGACAGTGGCAAAGAATACACACGCAACAATAGAAGAATCGTTGAACGCGTCGTTTTCTAGGCGGTTCATGTCATATCAAAGTTAAGTGGGAGATCAGCTCTTCCCAGAATTTCTTGTTTAAATTTTATTTCTATCTAAAAATGCATGGGGTGAGGGACCGATAAGTGGCCTCCAGCCCAGAGGCGTCAAGGAGGAAAAAGGCAAATAATACAGAAAAATGGACACCCGTCGTAAAGAGGACAATGTTACTAGAGGACCGCAGGGCCAAAGAGTATGCAAGTAAGGAGCAGTATCGATTGGGAGCTCTCACTCACCCAGAACGCTATTTTCTTGTTCCAGAAAACAAGACGCTACGAACTGTGACAGAGAGAAACTTCATGTTCCAGACGATCAGCAATGCCACGTTTTCCGTCGATACGTTCTTCTTTATCAGGTACATGAGTCGAACCCGACTAGCGTGACAAACCTAGAAACAAAAAAGTTCTGTTAAAAGCAGAAAAGGAGAAAATAATTTTGATTGGCTAACTTCTTCTTCTTATTCTTCTTCCAGCAAGAAACAATGAAGAGACTCCCATATAGAACTTTCCAGGTCACCATTAAACGAATACTATGAAGATTACTGTCTTTAGGGACGAATACAGACGTACCTTAGGAACCGCGAAGATGGAGGCGGTACTTTAAATCGAAACCTAGGTAAACATCTATCAGACTGCACGCCATTGCACCCCAGAAGACAGTAATACTCATAGTCACCGCCACGATAACCCCAGATCTCACAAAATATTGCGAGCGCTATTTGACCAACGACGAGATGCACAGAACTGGGGTCACCGTTACACACGAGAAGATAATAACTGGCTTCATACAGCTGTAATCTTCTTGAAAAGCTGATGGTTGCTTGGCACTTCAAAAATGCTCGTGTTTTTTAATAGAATCCTGAGGTTAGTTACCGTGCTCACAAACTCCCACCACTGGCTCTTAACCTGACCCAAACGAATCCAGTCCATGCCTTCCCACTCCATTCATTTTATGGCAATTTTAATATTACCCTCTCATCGACGCCTTGGTCTTCCAAGCTGCCTCTTCCCTTCAGATCATAAATATATATTTCCCATTTCTTTATCTTTGAGTTGCTCCTTTTACTAATGCTGATACTACCTAACTCCATGGAGCTGAGCCCTTCTTAAGAAGCTGCCAGTGCCTCAGCCATTGAAGAATTCCTCAAAATTTTGCGGAACCCAAAGGTTCATTACCGTATTCACAAGAGCCCTCCACTGGTCCCTATCCTCAGCCATATCAATGCAGTCTATACCATCCCATGCTAAGATCCATTTTAATATTATCTTCCCGGTAGATGGTAAAATCTGAAGACTGCTTGTCTACAGTTCTGAGATAAGAACGCTGTCGCTTCTCGTGGAATTTTTTTTTCTTTCGTAAGACCACAAAACAGAAATGCTAAGGCCCTAAATTGAAGACACTGCAGCGGAGACAAAGACAGCGTTGCAAAGCAACGTGTCGCAATGATAACGTTTATTTTATTTTAGATGTTGTTTATTAATGAACACAATACACTCACGTCTACTATAAACTACTGTTTCTCGTGAACCGTATTCTGGGACGGACTTATTAAAATCGCGAGATTTCCACGGAGGTGAAAATAAAGATTAAGGTATTCTAGTATGTGATGCCATTTGGTTTGTCGGAGAGTTATTATTATTATTATTGGAGGGGGTGGGTTTCCCCATGCACCGCGACCAGTAGTCTATTATACGTCCCCCTGTGATATTCTCCCAGTCTCCATCCCCTACCGATACTGGTGCGTGCCATCAGTCCCGACTCAGCCAGCGAGTTCGGCCTCTACTGGCTCAGCGGTATCTAGATGCTTCCCCCATCTACCAGAGGCGTTAGAGACTATTGTTGGGCGGGAAATGTCCTTAATAATTTGGCTCAGAAGCCTCCTTGAGGCATGAGGTTCTTTTACGTGCCGTAAAGCTACGACACGGGACCCACGGCTTAAAGTCCCTCCCGGAGGACATGTTCCCTGAATTTTTCCGCCCTTAAAAATTCCACGACCTCCGCCGGGTTTGAATCCGCGTACCTTGAGTCATGAGGTGGGAACGTTACTCCTAGACTACGGAGGCCGCTTTGTCAGAGAGTTACTAACGTTTTTGGAGCAACCTGGCTCATAATACGAGGGAAGCAGTTTCATTTGAACCGCCAGTATCCACGTACATCGCTGGTGAGTGTCTCAAGCCACCCAGACGGGCAGATGAAGTGAAATCTTGCCTTGGTTGTGTTGCAGTGGTCTGTTGGTCACGTTCCTCTACTTCCGGTCAGTGGAGAAGCAACAGGATGACAGCAACAGACGCGGTCTGAGAGAGGGTGCGGTGAAATTCATGACACTGCTCTTCTACAGGTTCGTCAGGTAAGTGACGCCCTCAAAGGGCCAGACACCAGGAAACTGACTCCCTTCTTGACAAGTCAACATAACCTTATCTACTAAAGAAATTGTCGGCATTTCATGGAATCCGGAAGTTCATTAACAGCCAGCTACTTGTCCCTATCCTGAGCAAGATGAATTAAGTCCATATCTTGACATCTTATTCTTTGAGATCCATTTTAATATTATCCTCACGTCTACATCTTAGTTAGTTAGTTATTGGAGAGGGTGGGTTTCCCCATGCACTTAGACCAGTATTGGTCCATTGTGCTTCCCTCTATGATATTCTACCAGTCTCTATACCCTACCGATAATGGTTCGTACCATCAGTCCCGCCGAGCAAGCGAGTTCGGCCTCCACTTGCTTTAGCGGTGTCTATAATGCTTCCCCCATCTATCAGAGGCCTTAGAGACTATTGTTGGGCGGGAAACGTCCTGGAATTTGGCTCAGTGATCCCCTTTGGAGATATGAGGTTCTTTTACGTGCCGTAAAGTTACGACAAGGGGCACACAGCTTAAAGTCCCTCCCGGAGGATTTGCTCCCTGAATTTTTCCGCCCTTAAAAATTCGACGACCTCCGCCGGGTATCTGAACCCGCGTACCACGAGTCATGAGGCGGGAACGTTACCTCTAGACTACGGAGGCTGCTACGTCTACATCTTAGTCTTCCAGAAGTCATTTCCCTTCACATCTTCCGACCAAAACTTTATAGGCACGTCTGATATGATGCGTTCTACATTCACCACCGATCTAATACTTATTGATTTGAACACGGTAATAATATTTCGTGAAGAGTCTAAATTATGAAGCTCCTCGTCTGCAGTTTCCCCAAACTTCCTGTCACTTCCTCCTGCTCAGGTCCAAATATTCTCCTCAGCACCCTGACCGGACACCCACCAGCGTGTTCATTAATTAGTCATTATACTTAGCTGAAAACAGTCAGAGTAAAACAAATCTTCAGGAGACAGTGTGGGAGGCTGTGGGCTAGATTCAGTTGGCTCAGAGGGCAGGAATAAATCCCAGGCTTATATGCAGACGGCAGTGAACCCTGGAACTTCACTGAAGGCGTGGACTTCTTTTTATTACTTCACAGGATGCCTGTAGGAAAACTTCAAGGAAAGAATCACGAAGATGACCTAAACATAAATGGGACGATAATATTAACAAAAAGTTCCAGGAAGAACTAATGGCCTACTTTCCTTCGATGTGACACGGACCGCATAAAAAACGACGCGTCCAACAATTCTTCTATTGTTGCATGTATTCGTTGCAGCGGCAACGTGTTTATCAAGCCGTTGCTTAGCAACGGTAGGAAGGATATAAATACAGACACACAGACTGATGGGAGGGATTTATAAAGTACGCCACTGAAATGGGCTCAGGTGTCATGATATACATATCAAGTTTAATAAATACTCGTTCAAAGGGGGATGCACAGACACACAGATGTCAAGGTAATCTCATAAGCCTAACTTTATTTTCAAAATAATGAAAGTAGGCTAAAAACGGATCTTACAGAAATAGACTTGGGATGTGGACTGGATTCATCTGGCTCAGGATAGGGACTACTGGCGGGGTCTTGAGAACATGGTACTGAACCTTCGGGTTGCATAAGATGGTAGGAACTTCTTGAGTAGCCGAGCGACTGTTGGCTTGTTCCACGAAGATTTTAGCGTGCGAACTGCAAAGTTTCACCGTTCGTCCTGAGTGGAGCTGCTTCACATATGCAACGCTGATATCTGTACACAACTGCTGTGCTTCAGGCTGACTCCCGCCTACCTCTTCGTGCTCGGTCTGGTTGAGGTTGCCATGAGAACTCTACACAACGGTTCTGTGTTCGAGCCCAAGGTCATGGACCACCTGAACTGCGAAAATTACTGGTGGCGCAACGCTCTCTACATTAACAGCCTGTTCCCGCGGCGCGAGATGGTGAGTCAGCTCAATCCAATCCAAATCTTTTTCATTTTAATATCATTCCATATGCGTCATGATGCGGGATACGCTGTAGCGTAGTTGGTTGAGGCACTATGCTACAAATCGGAAGGCCGCGGGATCGAATCCCGATGAGGTGGATTTTTTCAATTTACCTATTCCTTCCAGCCGCACTATGGCCCTGGGGTCGACTCAGTCTCTAACAGAAATGAGCACCAGGAATATTTTTGGGTGTAAAGGGCGGCCGCCGGGTAAGGCGCGTAAGCTGTGAGCCGATTGTCTAGAAAATATGGGAGTCTCGACGTTTCAAATCCCTATGGGCCTCCACAGCCTGTTACAGAGATAGCTTTGCTTTCTTATGCTTCATGATTCCTCAGCAAAGTTATATGTCAGTATCACATAACAATCACGCGTGCTAAACATTTAGTTCATATTAATGTCTTTTAAGGTTACAATGAGAATATTTATAGCTGCCAAGAGGGATTGCGATGCTCTGTGTTGCGTAATTGTCTCGGAGTGTTGACGTAATTCCCTGTGATAAAATATTAAATCTGTGCTTGTGTCTTGACACTTGATGGAAAATGGCACGAGCGATCAGAAATAAAAGTAGAGAAAAGTTGAAATTAGCGGTAAATTGAAAATTCGTTCACTTTGGCACCACGTGGAGGCAAGCGGCTAGTTCACGGTCCGGTCGCCATTACTTCTGGGAAATGAACATTGTATACAAACCCCAAAACCGGTCTGGTGGCGCAGAAATATCCCTGATCCTACCGGGAATCGAACCTGCGTCGTCCAGCCCCTACTCAGTACTATATGCTTGTATAAAATAATCAATAAATACAGTGAATAACAAAAGTAATGGGATTTATAAATAAAACACTGCTGAGGTGTGTAGGATATTGTTCTGGGTGTTACACACGCGAATCGTGTTGATAAGAAAAGGAATTTCTTCCGTTAAAATCACATCTTACTTACTTACTTATTCATGGAGCTGAGCCCTTCTGGAGGAGCCACAAATTCTGCATCTACTCAAGAATTTCCCAGCATTTTATGGAACCCGAAGGTTCATTACCGTGTTCACAAGAGTCCTCCACTGGTCCCTATCCTGAGAGAGATCTATCAAATCCATACCATCCCATCCTATCTCTCTAAGATCCATTCTAATATTGTCCACCCACCTACCCCTTGGTCTTCCCTGTGGTCTCCTTCCGTCTGGCTTTCCCACCAATATCCTATACGCATTCCTCGTCTCCCCCATTCGCGCTACATGACCTGCCCACCTCATCCTCCTTGACTTGATCATTCTAATTATACTTGGAGAAGAGGTTAAAATCACATCTACTGTAATTTATTTATTGCATCACTGAACAGTCGAGATCGGCGTAGATAATTCCATAGCTCGGCACTATGTCGCTAGCAGTCATACTCCAGCGCGATGGTAATTCTGCTACCTCCTAGGGTCTCCTGGTCTCCTCGCCACACGGAACGGCCCGGTGGCTGGTGAGGAAGACGAGTGACGGCTTCGGCCTGTCTTGCGGGCAGCATTGGGGGCCGGTGAGGTGCGTCCCCGAGGGTGGAAGCACCCGACGCTCCACTCCAAAAAGCTGCTAACCTGGATACCGCGATTAACAAACAGTCCGTCGGTGAAACATATTTTGTTTCGAAGAAAGCGGTCTTCTAGGATGTGTGGCACCGTTTAGATGTGGTGTTAACCGACGTTTCGGAGGAACGTATCGCCTCCATCTTCAGGGTAGAAGGAAAAATAAGAAAATCCGCAAGCGAATAGAGTGAAAACAGGTGCAAGCAGACTAATGTTGGAAATAAACTCATTTTGTTTCCCTTCTTTTATTTTGTGAAGCGGTTTGGAGAGAGACATATGATTGGGAAGGACTTCGTAGGAAACCGTCGTTACCCAATCGATGTAATTTACACCGGCATTTTCTTGGTGGGAGCGAGAAAAAGCACGACAAACCTTAGTCAGTGCAGCCGGTGTCCCAACCGAGACTCGAACCTCCCAAGCGATACTGCTGTCATAAGGCGTTAGGTAACCCCATCTTAACTTAGCTGAATCCACTTCAGATCATCAAAACCACATTTTTTTTAACATTAATATCATCGTCCCATCTCAGTATCATTTTTAAAATTGACTGCGAATAAAGGGTAACTGAGATGGGCCGTTACAGGCAATTAGTCGCCGGCTTCCCACCGCGACGGCCCGAGCTCGAGCCTGAGTCAGGTCATGTGGGATTTGTGGTGGACAAAGTGACACTGGGCAGGCTTTTTTCCCGAGTACTTCTGTTTCTCCTGCCAGTTCGCATTCCACCGATTGCTCCATAATCGTCATCCTCATCATTATGTCATCCGGAATTGGTACAATAGGCCCAACAGTTGCCACAGTACCCAGTGCACTCAGTCTCACCGCATGAGAGAGAAAAACGGAGATGCAATGTTCTCATGGCTATGAAGAATATGTCTTCTTGAACGTAGCAGCCTACAAGGAGTCACATCCAACTTGTTAATTATTTACAATCATTACCAGAGTGCATATACAGCGAATACGTACCAAGAGCTGCTTTACCGAAATAATACTCACGTCTCAGGGGGAAAACTACTTTGAGCAGATACATCAATAACAACAGCTGACAGAAACAAATGCTAGGTTATATTGTGGGAAATCTGTATATTTTAAACACGATAATCTAGTGGATATTAGACTCATAGTATTTCGAGGACGAATTCAAATCATTATGGCCAGACGTTATCTCTCGGACTGGTAACTGGAAAACCAATGTCCTAAACTGGCACTAAATTACAGTTTGCTCAAGAAACGTGCAACTTCACGTAAATACAAGAAACATCTTCTGTAGCAGTTACACTTACCTGTATAGATATAGACGTCCACAGGATCCAAATGGTTACCGTATTATTAAGTTACAGTACCAATATTTCAACATCACTTTCACTGAAACACTTACTTCAAATATTTTATCCAACTGCCCGCCCAAATCACTTCACTTTTCGTCATTTCGCGGCAGTAGCGCCGCTTTACGCACGAATTATCAGGGAAGCAAACATACACACATTAAAAGATACTGGTATCCGTCAGGGCTGCCAATGGCTGAGTCGAAATGTAACTGAAACGCAGAATATGCAACGCAGAAAAATGCCGGTGTGTAGGTGTCTTTTGATGGGAGGAGCATGTCATATTTCCTCGATTCTAACACACGCTTCTTGTTAACATTTTGACATTTCAGAAATCGGGGTGCGTCTTATATTTGATGGCGCCTGAGAATCGATGTCCAAGAATTTTATTGTGACCTAAGCGTAAGCCAAATCGTATCCGTAACATTAGTCGTGAGATAACAAGCACAAAGGTAGCAACAAAGGACATTCCGACAATATTTCTATGTGTTTCCATTTCTTAAAACGTCCTTATGTGTGACTACTTAAAGCACCTGATGGGAGTTGGACGCTGGAAATACCAAGTGGTTTTTAATGCAAACAGGGATTTCGCGATGAGGAGAGATCGGTCGTTGTTCATTATTACGCTAAGCATCGTTGCGTCTTAATAATCGAGGGTTTGTCTTGCAATTGGTCGCGCCTGTTTTCCTTAGAAGAACGCATTAATAAATCACGGTCGCGTCTGACAATTGCTGGCGTCTCAGAACCGAGAAAATATGGTATTATAGAAAATGTCCGTCGGTTATTGTTAGCATGTGTTTTGCTTACACGACGTCAAGAGTGTATCTTTAGTCATAACAAGGAATGTTCTGTACCGCCAAAGATATTTTTCTTCACTGCGATTTTAGTGATAACTTCGTTATTCGTTTGTGTTCGTAAGCATATAACGATAATCAAGTCACAATTTACACGTTAAAAGTCCAGCGACTTGAGCAAAACGAATTTCCGTTACCGTGACGCTGCCGGTATTTAATGACAGTATTTCAGACCATATCGTCGAATGACAGGTTGATGAGCGAATAATAATCTCAATAGGATCTGAATGAATAGGTTGTTCCTGCCATTGTCAAATGTAGCGCCATTGCTAGGATGTGGATGAAATCGAAACTAGGCTATACAAATAGTGCTATGACACTCGACTGTAATGCTACTGCTAGAATGCTATAGATGATACTGATCGTAGACTGTAATAGTCACCTAAACTGATTTGGTGTAAAGAAGTGGGAAATAAGAAATAAAATGAATAGATGTCTTCATAGACACCGCTGTGAGGGGAGTTCTGTCTTCTGGGGTCTGATACCGTGTATAGCTTGCTGCCTGCCTCATGCTGGTTTCTTGTTTGGACTACTCTTGCAGACTATGAGATATGTTCCTCCGAAACATCCGCTGACTTCCGCCCGGCATACGCGGCGTTACATCCCAGAAGCTTGAACTCTTCGAAAGGCATGTAAATGGGAGAAAGGAGGGAAAGAGATAAAGGTATGTGTGGGATAGAGGAAAGAAAGACAGGGACGAGAGAAATATTTTGACGTAAAGAAGACAGGGGGAAGAACGAGGATTGGAATCGCGATAGAACGGGCGCATAAAGAGAATGTGGAAGGAATACGGGAGAAGGGCAGAAGCAGATAGAGATACGAAAGTTTATAGGAGACTGACCACTGAATTTTAACGGACATTACACTAGTCATTGCATAAAGTGCAGCTTACGCTCTGTTTCAGTGCATGCTGTGGAGCTGGTACATGGCTAATGACACTCAGTTCTATGTGCTCGGAATTCTGCTGCTGCTGGCGTCAGTCAGGTGCGTACAAACTGGTTCACTTGATGACATGTGTCGTGAATATGGACTTCCACGGCGACTCCCAGAGGGTTTATGAGAGGCGGCGAAGATAAAGCTAAAGTTGTCCTTGTGTCTGGTTAAGCATCACGTCATGAAGACGCATGGGACAATGCAGTACTAAATTATGGCCGTCGAAATATCTTCAGAGGGCCCTGAAAGTGACGCCATTGTCGAAGTTCCTTCACTCAAGAAACCGGGCACTTTAGAGTGAACTGAAGAAACAGTGACAAGGATATTGAGAAGGGAAATAAAATTAAAATATAAAGAAAATAAAAGTGTGTAGGAATGAACGTGAACAAGATGGTTTAGCCTCGTTTTGGAAAATGTCAGGAAGGGAGGAAATGGCTGGCAAGATATCCGAAAGAAAGTATTGTGAGAAGGAAGAACGGATTTGAACCTTTTCTTCCATCCGCCAGACCAGCTTTCAACACAGCAGGTTTAGGTTTGAACATTTCATGGCTGACAGTACACACGTCATTCAAGCTCTCTGAAGATTTGCGGACGCCATGTAATTTTGGGTGGCATATCGTGATGATGCTGACAATATTATTTTCACTTCAGGTATTTCCGAGCAGTGGCGGCAGTCTGGGCAGTGTTCCTGGTAAGCAGCTGGTGTACCACAGGGATTATATCCTACCAGTACCAATATGTCGCCAGGTATGGGGTCACGCATTTGCAAATAACTTCCTTCTTCTGTAACCAGCCAAGTACCAGGTCAGACATTGTCACGTATTTAGTGATTGTAGAAGGGATTTGGATTGGTAATCGGATTTACTGAACCCGTAACTACAGGTAATTACAACGCTATCGTTAATTCACACACTTTACAGTTCACTATGGCACGCATTAAGTCTTCTCAGTCTATGTCTTCAATAGTAGTTGCTTGGTAACGGCTCCTAACGACGTAGATTCCTCTGCTGCCGTGTTCACGTCGTTACTGGCTGCTGTCTCATAGCTTCTCATGGCCGCAACTCCTGGTCGCGTCTCGCCACCTCTGGCTAGCACTCACTTCTCCCTCGTCTGCAGACTGTCCTGGCTTGTCCAGATGGTAGAGCGGATCGCATAGGAAACGCCGTTCCTCACAGTTCCTCTACCGTTGCGTCTACATATCCGTTGCCAAGGTGACGTGTTTATGGAGCCACTGCCTAGCAACGGCCATCCCTCAGGTTCTGCTATCTTTTATCGTGTGTTCACACCTCTGTTACTTAGTAATGGACGTCTCTGGCTCTTCCAGCTCAATCACTGTTAGCTCTTTCTAAGAGACCAAACAGAGTAGTTGTCCTACTCCCTCACCTGAGGACAGAAACAGATCCAGTTTCCAAAATGTTGTGTTTTCTAATTTTTAGAATACCTGATGATGGAGAAAGTCTGAAAATCCAGTAATTCTGAACAGTTATTCCCTTCAACAGGATAAGTCGATTAGTTTATAAATCGAAGTAGTGTGTTATCTATGTGATTAGAGATGGCTGTTAACATTATATTTATATGAAAGTCCACCTCCAAACTTCTTACCTGCATCATATACCAACAACTTACCTTCTTTGTAGCCCACCTTCACCACAAGAACGGTTAAGCAGATTTAGGAACCTTCAGAACCGGTAAATTTTCTGTTTCCCCATTATAATATAGTGTCTCTTACTTACCCCTTCACTTTCTCTTCTCTTCTCGGACTTCCAAGCCATAACTTGTAACCACAGAATTGAGTCTAACACTTCAGCTAAGCCATTTCACGAACAATGCTGAAGACAAATGGTAATGTTTGTTTGTTTAATCCTCTATGGGTCCAAATCTGTGCAGGCTAAGTTGACATGATGAACGTCTGCCTCTTCTTCCTGAAAGGCCAACAATTTTCGGGTTGCTCTCAGATGATTACACTGCATTATTCTGCATGAGAGAGACACTTGTCCACTAGTTTGTTGACAAAATGTCTAATTGCATGCATGTGTTGCCTCCAGAATACAGGAGCCATTTGCCCAGTTTGATACCTTGTACGACAAGCCATGGACCAGGGTGGGACCTTACCTTATTGGCATGGCGACTGGCTGGCTGCTACACAGGACAAATTGTGCCTTCAAGATACCAACAGTAAGTCATCATCTCATGTTTCATCCGCGTTATGGGGGAACGGGCAACCAATCACAATTCATACTCAAAATACCATGAATAATAACCAGACACAGGCAAGTTAAATTTAACCCCCTCCCCCCAAATAATCATTAAAATTTATTTCAAACCAAAATCTGGATTCACATTTTTTCACCTGGCGGTTCTGTTCAGACTGTGGTAATCAGCGGCTGGACCCTGGCCCTGCTGTGTATGTTCAGCCTCGTGTACGGCCTACTGCATGTTCAGCTAGGGATGCTCACTTCAGCAGCTTACGCAGGCCTGGGGCACACTGCCTGGGCACTGGGGCTTGCTTGGATAGTGGTTGCCTGCTGTACCGGTTATGGTGGTAAGTAAGGGGTTTGTGCAGGAACTTATATGTGAAGGGCTAGGCAGCTTTCACTTCAGATGTGTGTTACTTGTATGGCTCAATCCTGTCCACAGTCTACTGTGTGTGCAGATGTTGTGAGATCATGCATTCTCTGTGTATTGTCTGTGCAGGAGCTGTAAGTGTACCATAGGAGTATGTTGTTATTGCGAACGTACTGTCTGTGCAGGTACATTCTCTGTACAAATGTTGTGGTTGCAGGTGTTGTCTGTGCAGGAGCTGTAAGTGTACCATAGGAGTATGTTGTTATTGCGAACGTACTGTCTGTGCAGGTACATTCTCTGTACAAATGTTGTGGTTGCAGGTGTTGTCTGTGCAGGAGCTGTAAGTGTACCATATGAGTATGTTGTTATTGCGAACGTACTGTCTGTGCAGGTACATTCTCTGAGTACATTCTCTGTACAAATGTTGTGGTTGCAGGTTATGAGAGTGCACTGTGCTTGCAGGTGTTGTCTGTGCAGAGGCTGTAAGTATGTTAGTATGTGCACTGTCTGTGTAGAGGCTGTAAACAGAGTCACTTTGTCCAATAGGCAAAATGGACCACTGCCCAGGGCCTCCATCGAGCGAGTGTCAGTACCATGTACTTCAAATTTCAATAATTATTTCTGAATATCCAAAGAATAAATGTGCAGACTTTCTAGTCTAGGCCATAATAAATTTCAAATAATTATGTCAGATGTCACTGTAATGCAGATGGCCTGTCTTTCTTGGTTTTGTTAATAAAATCACATTTTGTACTGGTATAAAAGTGTGATATCTTTTATTTTTAGAGGTAAATAGGGGAGATCCAAGGGCCCGCCATTTCCTTTAAGCAGTCCTGGTTGCACTGTGAGTGTATGCCCTGTGTACAAACTATGAGTGCATTGAATCTATGAGATTGAGAGTGTATTGTTTCTGTGGGGGCTGTGAGTGTATTTGTATTCATGTTGTGAGTGCACTGTCTGTGCAGGTATTGTGAACAGCCTCCTGTCGTTCCGGGCGCTGTTACCCCTCAGTCGCCTTACATACTGCGCCTATCTCACTCATCCTCTTATCATGGTAGTCACGGGGTTCAGCATGGATGGACCACTTCATCTCCACAACTTGCTAGTGGTAAGTTCCTGCAGCCATCTGCGCAATAATGGATTTTTATGTTGTGAACTACAAGTCAATGGCAAAAGGTGTAAAGAAATGTTCACCCTTTGGCATGGAAAGGTAGGATGACAATACTAGTCTTTGTGTACTTTTAACATAAATTGAAATAGGGCTGCAGGGGTTATGAACTACGCCTGTTCTGGTGCTTAATATGAGTGCTATGGATGAACATAGTATTCTTAATGTGATGCCTTGTAGTCTGGTAAGGGCAACACTCTAGTGTCACATTCCAGTAAGCAGGAGTCTTCACAGTCAAAACTGACACAGCCTTAGATCTCCCTTAATGGTGCGCACGATTCAATTCTTGAAGAAAAGAAGAGACTGTAGAAAACAGTTTTGGACTTTGAGATTCTTAGAGTGGTGACTGTTCTTCTGACCTGTGACAGTGTGTAGTCCAGTAGAATTTTAAAATTAGAACTAAAGATTTTATAGTGCTACTACAGGTACGTCAGAATTAACATGTGTAAAGTGATCTACATCCAGACAGATATCAACGAAGTAGATGTTGATAGTAACAAGGAAAGTGTTTTAAATGTTAAATTTTGAGCTGAGTGCAGTGTGACAGCGACGTGAGTGTTATACACCTGATGATGGCCGTCTGTGGCCGAAACATGTAGTGTGGGTGAATAAGATCAAGGACACATAATATATTGTTTGCACTTGGGACGGAATTTGTATCATTATATCATTTACAGTAGAAATTCATCAACATCTTGGAGGAACATTCTGCCTCCTTCAGTGTAGAATAAGCTGACGAAGCAGCATCAGCAAGAAACAACCAAATGTGGTGTATATGCATTGGTGTTGGTGGAAGGAGGAGGCCAGGCGTCTGCCCTTCACATATGGATTTTTAGGGGGGAAAAAAAAGAAAAGAAAAATGAGAGTTTTGGGGGCAAAGGTAGACCAAATATTAATATAAAAATTATAATTACTTTTTTTTAAAAGGTAATGTTCTGTCTTGAATCCTCTTAGGAGATCAGTAAAAGTAGCCATAGACAGCTTAAATGTAAGTTTGTGAGCAAATTTTGTCTCCCCCCTCAAAAAAAAGTTTCCACAGTGTCCACGAGTACATCAAAATAATATTTGGAAATTAAGTTTCAACCTCACAGAAAACACAAAGACAAGCAGGTAAATACTGTTCAGAGAAATCGCTGTTCATTGTGAGAATCATACAAAACAGATAGACTGTGTGGGCAAAATGCATGTTTTCTTTTATGTCAAAGTGGGTGGTACATGCAGTGGCCAGTTAATACTATGTTTCAGTTGATCCTGTACCTAGGCAACATGGTGGCCGCCTTTGCGTTGTCCTTCTTCATCTCTCTTGCCTTCGAGGCACCAGTGGTCAACTTGCTCAAGATAACCATGGCAAGCAGAAAGAAAAGCTCCCAGGACAATGTCACAGGGTGCACAAAATGTCACTGATAACTGAAGAAGAACATCTGGTGATCACATGATGTAAGGGCACTCTGTTGAGACAAACTGAGGCTGCGTTGGTAATACAGAGGGAAATGTGTCTCTCCAGTTGAACTTGACCAAGGTCTTTTAGACTCCAGTTCCAACATGACACAATATACCACCATGGGCTCCAGCTGGTTGGGGGGAGGGGGAGCTAGGCATTCCTCTGCCTGGGCATAAAAAGAGACAAACGCAAGTGAAAAAGACAGGAATTGTACGAGATATTAATATCAAAAATTTATTTTCTTCTTAACTCTTTTATATTCTGAACACTTCAAGATGATCAATAAAAATCCTGAAGAACTCTAACCTAGGATTATAAGCCAATCTCCTGGCTGCTTCCCTTGGTAAAAAGCCTTGCTGACACCCATGGATACCACACAGATTGCTATTCTTCATATGTTGCCTGTTGTAAGAACAGGGTAATCTGTGTTCGCTAATTTTGGCAGAAATGCTGTAAGGACTGATACTTAATGTAAAATTATGATGCTGGAATTCTGAGACACAGAAAGTGATATGCTCACAGATGGAGGTAAGGTTGTCAGCCTCATGCGCTGGCCACTCTTTACACCCTGGAAAGATTCCTGGTTCTCATTTCTGTTAGAGGCTGAGTTGACCACAGGGCCATAGTGCAGCTTGAAGAATCAAAAAATCCAATGGCCTCACCAGGAGCTGAACCCATGACCTTCTGGCTTGTAGCATAATGCCTCAACTAACCATGCTACTGCATGCTCGCGCGCACACACACATACATTAAATGATCACTTTAAAGTAATATTTCATATTCCAACAGAAATATACTGAGTGCTGAATGAATAGGGTGACTTCAGTGTATAGGGATAGGCTTGAGGAGGGCTTCATTGCTAGCTGTTTACAGATTATTCAAATTTAAATGGTCTTCTTCATTATGAACCAGCAGTCAGTGAGCTGGGTCATATCTTGACCTGTTTGGGCCTCATTCATTCTGTTGTCTCTTCAAACGCAGTTTTTAATTTGTAATAGTTCCAGAATGCTGTTTCTTTGCATTCTGTTGGCATGTTGAATCAAACGGGGTTTCATCTTCCAAAATTTTGTACAATATGCGTTCAGGCTGCAACTTTCTTAATATGTCTTACGTTCTCATATGTTCAATTCAAGTGCCTTTCACAGTATCCTGTGCTGATAGTTTGACAAAAAGGATGATTAAAACTGAATTTACTTCAGCAGCTGTACTTCTGGGAATGGCTGTGTGATATTTATTCTAGATCAGCATGCCCTTCCAGAAAAATCTGCAATGCAATTTCAGAAACAGTTTTTGTTACTTGTGGCCACCTACATGTACCATCTTCAGGTTCCTGGGCTGAAGCACACATCACCTTCAGAATATAATTCTTATGAGGCAGGTTGTATAAAAAACATTTTGGAATTAAAATGGTCTGTCTTCAGAATTTCATGTACATGAAACTGTACACTATTTATAATCACTTGAACACTCAACAAGGTTACCATAAAATAAATAAAAATGATACTACATGATGTCATGATTTCGTGTAAAAACATCTCATTACCATGGTTACTATGAAACATGTGAAGGTTATATGCTCATAGTCCTTATCATCCTAGTGATTTCCTTATGGAGGAAATGTCAGAGAAAGAAGTTAGCTAGGATTCAAACACATGCACATAACAGCAAAGTTAACAGTTTTCCTGGAGTTGTCCCTGCAAGAAAAACATCTTTTATTTTTACACTTTTTTCCCCATAACACAGTTTGGGAGACAGGGTGGGATGTATTGACATGTGTGTTTGGCATTTATACATATAGATACTTATAGTTGGTTGAGGTACTATGTTACAAGCTGGAATGCCACAGTTTTGATTCCTGATGAGGTCATTGTATTTTTCAATTGATCTAATCCTTCCAGCTGCTCAATGGCCCTGAGATTGACTCAGCCTCTAAGAGAAATTAGTACTGGGAATTTTCCTTGTGTGTGTGTGTGGGGGGGGGGGGGAAAGGGCGGTCAGTGCATAAGACTGACAACCGCACCGACATCTGTGAGCCGACTACCTAGAAAATGTGGGAGCCTTGATGTCTCCCAACCCTATGGGCCTCCACAGCCTGTTACAGGGATAGTAGCTTTACTTTTTTTTAATTAGGGTTAAGGGTAAATTTGTTAGTGGGTGTAATTAAGTGCCAAGCCATTAAGCGGCATGAAAGTTTGGAGACACTGATGTACGCATTCAACCTTGGCACTAGATGGAGATGAGCAGTCAGCTGCATGCATAAGTCATTTCATCTTTCGTATTCACTGGACAGGAGAGACTGGGTGGGCCCTAAAGCTGGTCTGGTCACTGTGGAGAAAACAGAAATCTCTTGCCCCTACTGGGAATTGAACCAAGATTCCTCTGTTGTAAAACTCTTGCACAAAATTTAACTGAAATTTATTTAGTAGTTTCAGAGATGAAAAACACAGATTGACACAAACACCTGCTTTTGAGTTTATTTTGTTAACTTCATAGCAAAGCTACATTAAAGAAAAAAAAAAGTCCCTCTTGTATTAATGTGGAAATAAAGAGTAATTTGAAAATCAGTGACATCCATTTCATTTAAACTGCACGAGAACAATTATGTAACTTGTGACTGATGTTAAAATCGTAAAGAGCAGAGACATGTCCACTTTAAAGAAACAGAAAGCAGAAAATTCAATCTGATTCTTTGTTATTTGAACAGAAAACAGTTTCAACTGTTGCAACATATCATATCTTAAAGACTGTTGCAAAAGAAGTTTCTGTATGATATCATCAATTTTCTTACATTCTGACATTACCCTCTGGCACATAACTGTCATCACTATTATTGTACTCAGGAATATCAGGATCCAAGCCACAAGTGATCCGACGTGCAAGGGTGAGTCCCAGTTTTCTATTCCAAGAACAACTACACCACTCAATGTGATGGAAACAAGATGATATATATTGGTAATCAATCCTCCAGCTGCCCGAACAAAGAGAAGCAAAATCAGAAATCCATAAACTGAGTTTATGAGTTGTGTAGCATCATAAATATTATTGTATATTTGCCTGAAGGTGATAATTTTGTCTACCTGATATAGTTTGCCATGTAAAAGCAAATTTCTTGGACTTGATTGGTACTTGTTTCCGCTGTCATCCACGGGATTCTCAGAGATCAAGCTTGTTACACATGACAACTCAAATTTATCAACTCTTTCAAAAGAAGTAGGTTTAACTGTGGAAGTTAATATCATTGATGGTGTGTTGTCTAAAACTGAAGACATCTCTTTTCTCAAAAGGATTAATCGCTGTTGTATGCATCTTGTAACATGACAAAACTGCATAATCAAAACCACCGATATTAAATAAGCAAGGCGATAAAGTGAAGTATAAACAAAATACCTTCGTTCCTCCACTTGCAGAATGTCATAACACATGAACATAGCAAGCAAGATACATACAGCATACATAAAATATACAAAATAATTCTTACATTTAGTATAGTTACAAAGTTTCATCTGGCATAATGTATTGTCAATCTGACTTAGTTTCTCTATAAGTTCTGCAAATTTGAATCTTTTCATGAACAAGACTGTAAATGAAAACACTGCATTAACAAAATTCATTGGAAAACAAAATGAATTATTCAGTGCTATACCAGGATTAGATTGTCCAACATTTTTGTACCTGTAGATTCCACTAATTAAGCCAAATACCATTACATTACTCATAAACAGTGTCCATACAAATCCTGTGACATTAGAGCGCAGCCTAGTATTGATGACTGTTTTACACACAACACAGTTCCTGGAGAATGAATATGGTGCCAAGCACACAACCTTCGACATGTAATATATGTGCTTCAGTTCACGTTGGATGCTGGGAGTGTTTTCCATTACTTTCAATCTATGATCCTATATTAAAATGTTTCAGTATGCATTCTGAAATTAATGAAGTTTGGGGCGCTGACATTATACCAGAAATGCTATTACATTGTGCACTTCTTTCACAGACATTGATTAAACTCCAATGCTTACAATTTGGCCAAACAGTCTGAGAGCACGCACTGTATTCCAAAATTGTAATGTGTTCCTGACATTATAATCTGGCAAAACTGGAACACAAATGATCTGTAAGATGTCCGATACATCTGTAAGACATATGAAGCATATAGAACATATGATTAATAATGCTATTATGGAGGGCTTTTTGGTATAGTAAAAACGACGAACTTTATGCCTTCTAACTTAATGAGAAAAGATATGTGTTTTGCTCTGATGTTCAATTCAATTTTCATTACTCCTCACTTTTTCCTTCTGGAGATCCCCCAAAAGATACAACATTTATGCATTATAATGATTAAAACTATAATGTCCAGCCATTACCGAAGTCCAATATGTTTCAGTTTGTTTACCCAGTCTGTTTGCCAAATACTAAGGTACTCATAGTAATAAGTTCAACAAGCAACAAATGGTGACTAATGTGTTTTGGGATCTGAAGGTATTCCAAGGCAAGATGGTATGTTTAGTATTATTGTAAAATATGCTTAATATATTTAAGTAAAATTCTGTTAATATGAAAAACACAATGTTGGCTGTTGTAATTCATGTAAAGTGCTATTATATAAAACTTGCATAAAGCTGCCTGCTTGAAATTTCAATAGAAAATTGTTGTAAACAAACTTTGTCAGAATCTCCTAATCCTAATAGTTTTAAAAGTTCTGAATAGACAGTTACACGTATTGATCAGAAGGCGGAGCACTATGTCTTCTACTCCTGCCCGTAACGAGCTGTTAATATACAAAATGACATAACAGCATGTGTTGGCCTTTCATGTGTAAGGATATTTTCAACTCGAAAAGTCTTAAATGAACAGGAATGGATATGAAAGGAAGCAGTCATAGACTGCGGTACTGTTATGGCATTTACCTGGAGAGACTGAAGAAACAATAAAAGCTTCAGTCACGGTAACTAGTGTTCCGGCTGAGATTCAAACCAAGAACTTCTTAAAGATGAGTCCAGAGAAGCTTTTCTGATACTACAGAAAAAGTACATTTTTCATATGGCATGGCAATGCTACCGAACTAAAACACAGAACTGTGCCAACTATTTGACTTTGAATTTATTTATGTTTCATAAATCCAAGTACAGAGTGTCACCATAGGATATGGAACAAGTCAAGTACAAACACATGATATCTATACAGTAATAGTTTCAAACATATGACCTGTAATCTTGTGTTTTGGTAGGCTCCACAAACAGTCCACTAACTCGAGAACAGTGGGGAGTGATACTACATATATCCTGAGCTGTCTTTGCCACTGTAACTGTTAATGTACTCAGCAAACATGGCAGCGCTGGAAGCCAAGCATATAATAGATAATGTCAAGCTTGTATGATTATTTCAGACTCAGATATACAAGTATGAACCACTTGAAGCAGTTCTCATCACAGCTAATGGCTAATAAAACTGAGTTCAGAGCCTTTGGGTTCTCTAATGCAGACCTGTAAACTCTACAGCTTTTCTGGCAACTGTCACAACCTATACTGCAGTTATCCTGCAGGCTAAATAATTCACTATGTTGGATTTGAGGTTGTCACAGCAGTGGTTATGGAGAGTACAGTCTTCAGGGACATAAAATTGTGTAATAATAATCCACTGTAGGAACTACATAATTTGGCTTTGACACCCACAACCGTATAGACCTGAAATGATACTTGTAATAACAATAAATACTACATCTTATCAGCAGATTATTTAAAGAAAGTCATGCTTTTATTTTTCATATTCTATTTATACAGGAATCAGATGAGTTGAATATTTCACTCCCTTCCAAATTATGGAAAAATAATTTAAAGCGGCATTAGATATGAACCTAAATCGGGTTCTTTTACGAATGTGTTGCAGGTGGTCTTGAATCTGAAAACCAATTTAGCTCACACAACAGTAACGATGAAAATTAACTTCACAGAATGTAACATGTCCATTTTGTGGTGATATTTAACTCTGAATTGGAACATCCACTGATCTCCAGTGGATATTTTGTTGCTTATAATTAATTGTGTTTCAACAAGACAATGCATATGTTTATGTCTACAAACGCATTAATACAAGCCGAAACTTTGGCACTTTTACTACTGGTGTATACTCGTTAATACCTACTGGAATATAAACGCGAAATCAAAAGAAGAAATAAGCAGAAAATTATGAGGAAAAGGTGCATCGAAGGGGCAGTGACTGCAGTTAAGTGCGATGGAGATTGTTTCGAAATCAATAGACGTAATGCGTCGGTTTCTTCGACCTTAGGTATCATTAATCACAAAAAACACGATGCGATTTAATTCACGGATGCAAAGATGTGTATATTATAATATATGAAATTTCGGTCATTTTGAGTTCTGTGTACGAATTTCCAATTTTTGTAGAATTAGCAAGCATTCTTGCAGGAACTGTTTGTAAATGCATTTTTCATCTGATATTCGTAGGATAAATGGTGTTTTTCAGCACGTGCTGAAGTTTTGACGGTTTTGACAGTTTACTAGTGCCATGATGCGGGAGTTCTGAAAATTTATTATTAGCATGGCTTATCAAGTGGCAGTTACTGTAACTACACGACTACCGAACCTTATGTACAAGACTTACTATTAAGACGAAGCCGTCCTTACGGATTTCGGAGCTGCAACTGTTTGCATTTCAAGAGCAAGATGACAGAATCGAGTACACTGCAGCAGGACTCATTTTGGGGGATTTTCCCCAATTTTACAGTTTCATTGCAGGTGTCACAACTTACGTAATTACTTTGGTTCAGTTCAGTAAGAAATATTAATACGTCAGTATGAGTGTAAGATTCCGTTACTGCAAGAGCCACTGACCTTTGTTTATTTCTTTGGTATTAAATGACACTTCGTCAGGCTGTATGCTATGCAGCTTCGGAAGGCAGACAACGTGGTAAACAAAATGGTAAGGACAAATTATGGCCTTGTCCTATTTATTATACCGCCACCACCTGTGCTTAAGTATTATGAAAAGTTGCAAAGTTAAGGAAAAAAGGAACAAGGTTTAAGAACTGAAATTACTATCAGAAACACAAGAATCAAAGTCACAGCAATGTTAATACCAGTGGATGGGAACTGTTTTTGAAATTACTTTTAATTTTGGTTTGTATTGGACATACTACATATAATAACCACCACTTTCTGCAGAGTCCAAATAGAAATTGTACAGATTTTTAAGGTGTTTCATAGTAGAAAACTGTTGCATAAAATATAGATATTAGTGAGGTCTCAAAGATACATTTCAACATTCATATGTAGGCGGAAGGTGCAGCTTGAAATTACTTTTAATTTTGGTTTGTATTGGACATACTACATATAATAACCACCACTTTCTGCAGAGTCCAAATAGAAATTGTACAGATTTTTAAGGTGTTTCATAGTAGAAAACTGTTGCATAAAATATAGATATTAGTGAGGTCTCAAAGATACATTTCAACATTCATATGTAGGCGGAAGGTGCCGCTAAAAATAATTTGAACCATGTGTATCATTAATCGATTTCCAACATCAGATTTGTACCCACAGTAAATAAAAGCGGAAGCCTTTAATAAAATTGCCACAATTGAAGAGACCAGCACAATACAAAGCAATGTTCAGAGAGAAGAAGAGTTTCACATCATCTATATATGTGGTTGTATGAAGGTAATTTCTGGAAGTACTGTGGATTTGGTGTCTTTAGCAGTTGGATCTGTGGCAGAACTTGGCAGTCAAAGGGATAAGTTTCCAAATTCAATGCAAGATTTCCAACACTGTTTTTAGAACATTAGTAAAATAGTAGAACTGTTCAGAAAGGTTTCAAGAGACATGGCGAATAGGCTTAAGTAATGCATTACTTATACATGCTGAGTAGAATTCTCATGATATGACTATGACAATGATATGTTACTGTATAGGTACACTAGTACATATACATAACTGGAAGGACATGAAATTGTTATGCACTTTTTAATGGGTTATTATATTATTTACTAATGATAAATCACTCCTACTATTCTGCTCATTATATATATCACTTAATATGAATGCTGTATATTTTAACTATATTTTATGTAATTCAATTCAATTCAGTTCAATTTATTTCAAATTCAAAAATAGATCCAGATACAGGCTGGGAAACAACCATTGGATATAGAATGAGTCACAGATCAAAAAACAAGAATGAATGAATGAAAAACCAGAATGAAACAAGAAACAAGCATTCCGTTCCCACAGGAACAAGTCAAGGCATTCATAATATAAAACAAAATAAAAGAACATATCAGCCATATATACAACAAAACTCCCCCAGTCTGGAACTCATGACTCATCTATTATTTCCATAAAATCCAATACTTTAGGATGTGGAAAAGTCATATTAGATAAATAAGTAGCACAAAGAACTAAGTCAAGACATAAGAATAGAACCAGAATACAATTAATCTTACCGACTAGTATATACAAAAAATTCATCCACAGTATAAAATGGGTGACAAGTCGAGGCATTCATAATATAAAACAAATAATAAAAAAAAAGAACATATCAGCTATATATATATATATATACAACAAAACTTTCCCGGTTTACAAAAACAACACAGAGCCAAGACATCATATTATAGAACTCTCAAAGGTTTCAGGCATCAGTACAAGCTCTTTTTTCATTTTCATCACTCATCTATTATTTCATAAAAATCCAACACTTTAGGATGTGGAAA